TACTGTAGGAGAATCCTAAGCCCAACAATAACACAGTATATATTTATACTATTGAGAAGTATAGGTAAAAGCTTTTTATTTTGACAATTTAAAAAAAATCATATTTTAAATTCTCACAAATAAAAAAAAATTCTAATCACAGACATCGAAATCTGCAAGTTCACTTGTCTTAGGCCTAACATTAGTTAAGCCTATATTATGTACGGCCTATATTGGATAGAAATATGTAAATACTGTACCCTGTGTAGGTTTTTTACTTTAGTTCAGTTACAGCTAAACTTTACCGTACTTAATATTATCAATATATAAACTTATAATGTACTCCTTCGATCTAACGTTAGACCTTTTCAAAAAACTTTGGTAACTTTTAAATATGTTGTTGTACAAAATATCTACTAAATTATACTTACATCCGCCTTTTATTTACATCCATTGAAATGAAGTGCGCATGCATTTTCAGGACAGACAAAAAATGAGAATCTATATAAATATAATAGTACTGTCTGTTGTCTATTGTGTGCCCGTGTAACTACTTCGCAGGGTGTATATGAATCTTCACCAAAATTGGTATAGAGGTTTATTAGGTCCATGCGGGAGTACATAGAAATTTTCAGTTTTGTATTTTGCCTTTTTACAGTTTTTATCACGATCTTGGTCCCCTGCTGATGGATCTTCGGATGGATGTTCATTGGGTCCATTGGGAAATACATACGAATATGCGGTTTCACATTTTGTGTTTTGCAGTTTTTATGGGCGTTTTTGCGTTTATTTTCAATACATATAAGGGAAGCAACTTTTCATGTCCTAAGATAACCTTTCATCAGTCATGAATTTACATAACTTCCGTCCAGGGGACGGGTACTCCAGCTAGTCATTATAATAGATTGGTAGTAGGTTTTTTCAGTAGCACAATGCCCTCCAGTAGTTATATACATACATTGCTCTGTGTGACAAATCTACCATACTTCAACAATATATAAATTAGTTCCTAATAATTAGTGTTCTATATATGTCACATAACTTAGGCACTAATGCTTTTTAATTAAAAACATATTAGAGAAAATTCACACACATATATAATATATATGTGAATCTTTAAGATGGAGATATTGTTCATAATTCTAAAACGCCAACAATCTATTTACCGAGTTTTTGTTAGATAATAATGACCACTGTAAGCATGTAACCATCTTTGTTATTGTAAATTATATCTTGTCAGAGATTTATTTAAAGGTGAAAAAAGATACGAATAAGTAGTGATTGGCTATCCGTGTTGTGTCCGCTGCAGGATCGAACCCGAATTATATTATTATAACGTTTCGGTTTCTCTATTTCGTCTCCTTTTCTTCCAACACACAGGTACAGTTAATTTTTACTTCTAAGACCAACTAAGCTACACAACTGTTTGAAGTGTAAAGTGCTTCTTGCAAGTACGATATTCCTGCACACTGTATGAATGCCCAAGGCATTTACTGCTGGTGAAACTATGACTCTTACTTGGCGAAAGAACAAAAATATAAAAATCAAAACTAAGTAATAGATTCTAGGGGGAAATGTACATAATAATAACCATGGAAAATAGAGTCATCTAAAGTATATTATCACATCAGTAATTTCTCCACTAATAAAATTATTATTGTGTTAAAGTATTTTGAATAATTAAAATGTCCGTTCTTGTAGTAGATAGTGGGTTAATTAATACTTTAGCTCTTTTGTCGTCTGGTTCACTGTGATAGGAACTAAATCTGACTGGTGTTCAAAACTGGTGGCGGCATCTATTTAAGTACTAGCGTATAGTTCGTCAGAAGTGACGGGGCAAGTACTACCACCCCCACTCCATAGTATACCCTAACCTCACATTTCATAGCTAACTGAAATAAATACATTTTGCGAAATCAAGTTCGACCAAGAAAGATGTTGAAAAGTGAAGTCGAGGCAGTCAAACGTTAGTAAATTCCTTTGTGAGTTTATCAAAATTAAGATAATTCATGAAATGAATTCGTGGCGTATTCAGAGAATAATTACACAGGTCTGTAAATTTAAACTTCATAACAGTTGTTTTGGTTTTAATAATGGACTTGCCATTATCTATCTTCGCAGATTTCGAAAATAATATTATTTTTTTTATCACGTTAGGATTTTTTTTACAAATCGGAAAGAAAAAGAAACTCTTACTTGGATCAAATTATTATTTCGTTTACCACAAATGAATATATTTTATTATTATATGTGTTTCTCGTGGGTTTTATAACGATCGATAAGAGTTTCACGTCGCGGTTGGTCTAGAGAAATCTATAGCCAGTGTTTGTCAACATTTTAAGTATAACAAAATGTGACCCGATTTCAATGAAAATTATTCACATGTGTAAACGATCATATGACATTTTGTGACGATTTAAGTTTAAAATTGAATCGATATTTTTACTTTCATGATAAATTTTATGCACTTGGCTCTTGGCTAGATGATCCCACAATACGTTTCTACTTTCGGGTTATTAAACCAACACTCACTACACTTACAAGGTTTCACTCCCCTCCCCTCACGGCTCCCTTTCATCCCCGTCATTAAAATCGTAATGGACAGACAGTAATCGAACTATTCTATCCGCATAAATGCATTTTGGCTTCTATGATTCCTCTTATTTCGAGAAATCACGCGTGACGTGACACACACACACACACACACACACATAATAGCTTTTATATAGGTTAGATCACGAATATTATGCAAACATAGTTTTAACTTAATGTAATGTGTTAAGAGTAGCATAGCGCATAGACAAGGAAATGCTAGGAAATTGCTGAGAACAAAGTTAAGATAGCTTTTTTTTGATTAACCTATCACTAAGAAAGTATATACAAAATAATTTTTCCTAAACCAATTTTAACACAGTGAAAACACATTGTTAGACCTATGTTAGACTTGTTTTACTTATAATAAGCTGGAATGCTTATTATAAATTAACAATATAAATAAATTAAAAAAAAATACTAATCACTTTTCGAGAATACTGTATTCAGGAATTTTATAATTCATTTTTTCATCACTTCTTTTTTTTGTCAGTCAAATTTTTAAAAAATCATACACTTAACTTTCATCTAGTATGACATGAGGAATTAAGTCAATTAAGGTTATACAGTTAAGGTATTTAATAATACACACATCACAGATGCTGCTGTTTTTATTAGAAAAGATTATCAATTACCGGGATAAACGTATTTCAATAAACATTCCACGTTATACTCAAATACAAAAATTCCGTTAGGTTATTATAGAATTACTTTAATTTGTGACGGATTTACTATTAAACATATCTATTTTAATATCGATGTTTGTTTAAGTTAACTTTATATTTACAAATTTACACAACTTATATTGTTAAATCTGTATTGTGAAACTCCCACCTATTCTCTAAAATTGTAGAAAATTCTGGAATGTAAGAATCAACAGTATGTGTGTGTGTGTGTGTACTTAAACACTGGGATATCGTTTATATTGTTGCGTAAGCTGGGCCCAGCAAGGCCAGGTGGTTAGGGTGCTTCACTCGTAATCTGAGGGTCGCGGGTTCGAATTCCCGTTCCATCAAACATACTTGGGGGCGTTATAATGTGACGGTCAATACCACTATTCGTTGGTAAAAGAGTAACACAAGAGTTGGTAGTGGTGATGACTAGCTTGCCTTCCCTCTAGTCTTTCACTGCTAAATTGGGGACGGCTAGCGCAGATAGCCCTCGTGTAGCTTTGCTCGAAATTCATAACAAACAAACAATGCATAAGCTGAAGTTTCGAGAAACTCTCTTCATGCCTATAAATATAACCAACGCGCCGCGCCAAAAGATAGTGTACATTATTGGTTTGCTATAGTTAGTGTGCTATAAACTTCGGAAGCTAATACTGTGATGATTGGCGAAGAACGAAGAACAGAGCTAGCTAGCTCCCTATTAAGTGAATTGTATCTACACCAACTCGAAATTAATAAGATATCAAGGAAGTTTCAGACCAGAAAGAAGACTCAATATTGTTTGTAAGTTTGTAAATCTTTTGTACATAGAGCATTATTTGTAATAACCGTTATTGTAAATTGTATTATTGTTTGTATATTAAAATATATTTGTATTAAAAAATAATCTGTGTGTATCAATCTTGTTGGCAAATGTCATAAATTACATATATATCGGCATTTATTTAACTTCTAATTCCAAATTACAAGTTAACTCAGTTTTAAGCTATTTGAAATTGTAATACGTAACAAATTAAATGTTCAGTCTAATTTCCATGAAATTACTTGGATATCAGGGACGTAGCTAGGCGTTAATTTTAGTTACACACTAAAAAAATGTGTAGGAGGGGGCTATCATCGTCAAAGCTTTGAAATTGAAACCTCAAATGGCGCATTATGATGATCTTATGCGTTTATAACTAATAAACAAATAACCATATAGGCGACATAAAGTACTGTTAATATTTCAATTTTGAGCAGTTGCGTTTGTTTCTGTAACTTTTGCTAGACGATAACAAACAGTGATGATAGTTGTAATAATAATAACACAAAGGCCTTTGTATACATGGATTACTTTTATAAAAAATAAACTGGCATAGAATGATAAAATGTAACTTATTAATATAATAATAAAATACCAACATGTATAATTAGAAGTAACAAGTTACATATGCAATTCTGTTCATATACTGCCGTAATTTTATAACAGATTTGTCATATAGAAGGTTTTGTAACTCTTATATTTAAGACTGCATATCACAGATAATTCGTATCTTTAATTGTCCACCTTACGCAAGATCGCATGTGCGTATGCCTAGCTATGCCCTGGATATTAAGTTAATTAGTTAGATCATAATCGCACCCTGCCTAACTTTATCCCCCAATACAACAGCAGAGTTATTTTCATTTCTTGTTAATCAAATAGGAAAATCCCATATATTTAACTTATTTGATCTATGTTCTCCATATTCACCAGCGTTCGGGCCATATGATAGTTTTAAAAGACAGACTTGTTTAATTTGACAGCCTTATACGATCAACATCCAACCAAAAAAGTCAGGTGTTCCAATCTGATACAAATATGGTAATTAAGTTAGATTTTGTCTATTAAAATACCGACAAAACGTAAGATCAATTATAATTACAATTTACATCAATATTTTACATGTAATATCCATTTGGTTAATTAACCAGTGTGGAAGAGACAAAAGGTGTTTTGTTACGTTTTTTTTGGTCTGGAAAAAAAAAGTTGTATTTTACCAGCTTTGGTGTTAGATACTTTGTAGTCTAAATATATGTGTTTATTTAGCATGAAAAAAAGACATGCAGCTACTTACGCCTTAGTAAATTCTTTTGTCATTAACGATCCTTTAGGCAAAACAACTGAATAAAAGATGTCGGAAAAAGCACCCTTTCCAAAATGATACTCTGTGATCCCAAGGTTAACGAGAACACCTTCAATTATGGTACCAGACCAGGAGAAAGCATAGGACTCCTGCATAGCTTTGATAACTCCCTTTCTCGTGGTCTCTACCAATGTTCCTTCCATGTCGTTTTTTATGTCATTTCCAATTATTGCAAGGTCTCCTTTCGTTGCACTCTGTAATAAAATATTAGGAAACGTAATCTTAATTGCTATATGTCATGACAAATATCATGATTACTACTATATATATATATAGAGAGAGAATTATACGGACATGCTTATTGAATTGTGGATAGTTAACTGTAATCCATTTTTTGCTAACAAAATAGAACATACTCAGTTTATATAACTATTTTTTACTATCACTAAATCAGTTAATCATGACACACGTTCATTAATTTATTATAACATTATATGGTCTGTATTAAACTCGTGTTATCACATGATTTGTTGGGTTTCCCTCACAAGAAATGGTTGAGTAATTTGACAACTTCACAAGTGTATAAAAGTTCCCCCCATTCCTCTTGCCTGTTTCAACAATCTATAGGCGCTGCATCTGTATGTAATAGAATGACTACCCTTTTCAGCATATGACGGTTGAATTGGAGGTATGACCAAAAGTCTTATCTTGGCGAAATCATACTCCGTTGCCCTCGTTTCTAGATGGAGTTCCTTCTTGATTACCTACTGTTGCCTGGAGCATAGACGGCTTTTACCACTGACCTTTATTTTCATGGATTCTCGCCTGTTACAAGATGCCGCATTATACTTCCATCGCTGGGGTACGACTCTTTGCAGTTCTCTTTTGGATGGTCCTAATAACCCAAGTTGATCCATATTCATTTGTTTTTCACTTTCGTTAATTATAAGCGATACTCCCATTCTGGAAAATTCTAAATCCCCGATCTAAACCCATCTTTATATACGTATTGGTAGTATTCGGTAATATAATACCGGGTAGTATAATAGCAACAGAAATAAACGCTTGTTGCTCATTTTTACTGAGATGTCTAAGAACAGAATATGTAAAGGTTTATTACACCATTATTAAAACACAAGTGCAGCAAAAGGCCATGTAATCCTACAGCTTATCGCGAATAGATTGAACAGTCAGGTTAGGTTCCTGATGTATATCAAAATGATCGTCCTTCAGTACCAGTTTAAGTTCTCACTAACGTTAGGAAAACAGCGCTGGATGTTACAGAAACAAATGCATACAAGGAATGTAGCACCAATGAGTTTACTGAGCATTGCTAAATCTCGCGATACTCTGAAAGGCTGTGCGGGAGATGTTGAATCTGTACCCATACAGGTAGCAGAGAGTCCTCGCATTAGAACCAGGAGATGGAAATCGACGTCTAAAATTTGCACTCAAGTTCCTGGCTAAAACAACAATTCAAAACGTTGCTTGATAATATTTCATTTACTGATGAGATCGTTGGTTTGTTGTGTTTCTACTTAAATATAACACCCTCCACCATATGCACCTTTTGGAAATCAGAGAACTGTGTATCACGCCTTTTCAAGAATTGTAGAATTGAATTGATCACGTCAAATATCGCGGTAATAATCCTGTTATGCATAATAAATAGCGCCTCTGTTGACATATTTTACGACCAAAATTTTCTCCATCTCCTGACTAGTGTCTGTCTGAAGTTTTACAGCCTACAAATGTCTACATTTGGTGTTATGAGACTTAGAATAGACCACCTATCTTTATACTAACCCTGTAGAGATCAGGTCAATTAAGTTCATATTAACCCTGTATATCAAAAGTCCGTCTCTTCCTGAAATTAATTACAATATTGGTTTGAGTTAAACATTTTTTGTGACTTTTTTATTATAAGGGACTTTTATCTCATTGCAAGTCCGTACACTTACTGCAGACCCACTTATTGGGATTCATTATTTATTATGCATTGAATATGAGTGATTTCACCCTTTTTTTTTACACTGAGTATTGTAACATAAAAAAATCATGAACTTAATACAATATAAAATGTGAACCCCGTTTAACACTGAATGTATATTTGAAGTTTCAAGTTATAAATAATATAATGTAAGTCGAACCTTATAAGCAAGTAGCAGTTAAAATTCTGGGTGTATTTTTATGGTCAAAATAATCACGTGACAGTCTTTTGTAGTTGTTTCCGAATACATGTTAAAATTGAAATAAGAGAATATTGTTATAATTCTTTATACAGGTGTTTAGAGAAAATGCTAATGGAATTACTGGTCATAAATGAGACAAAGTGTTTTACCATTAGGTTTGTGCACATTAAGGAGTTTGAAA